TTTTTCCTTTGCTGCATCTCATCTGCTTCAGCTGGGGAAGACTTCATTATTCCACCTTGGAAGACGGCCCTGACAGGCACAGTTGACAAATGAACAGCCTTAATTGTGTTGATCATTTTAGCTTATGTTTGTTCATGGCTGGCACTAAAACTAATTTGGAATATGAAACTTAATCAGCCACATATTAAACCAGCACAAACAGAACCAAATCATAATTTCAAATCCTTTTGATTCTAACATGATGCAAATGTTTACGAGTCTACATTATTGTGTCTTGTCATGCAGAATTAGAAAGAGCATTTACATGTGAGAAACACGCTTTATTCTTCAATTAGTGCACTGTTACAGCGACATGGAAAGCTAAAAAAGGCGTTTGTCTTAATGAGATGTATGGCGGTGTGCAAATGGGCACAGCATGTGGCCTGCTCTTTCAGTAAACCGTATTTTATTGTTGTTTACTGTGAAAATGCCAACTTAAAAATATGGCAGTATGTTTGCTGGAAATGTGGGTGTTTTGAAAAAAGCACCTTACATTAAACTATCCTCTTTAAACTGTAAGGTAAGGCTGAGATTTATGTGTCAGGACTTTTCTATACTGAATTGTATCGTAACTTATCAATGTGTGATTCATCACTAAAATAAAATATGTAAAACCTGATGTAAAACTTTAAATCAAAATTTTACATCATGTATTGTTGCCTGAGGGATAGGAACATTCTCTGGTCAAAAAAAACATACACACATTAAAAATAACACAAGTGTGAGGAAATGCATCGCTTGCAGAATTGCGTGGGTGACACAGAAAAAGACAGGAGGCAGGGTTCTTATAAGGAGGGGAAATTTTATTTATAACACATGGTGCTGACAGGGAGTCTCCAGCTCAGCGTCTATTTTACAAGGTTGATCTGCAAGGCTGCGCATTTACTTTACTGTATTTGGAAACCAAGATTGCAGTGGCACTATAAACACACGCTTGAAACAACAGATTCTTTCCCTTTTTTTTTTTTTTTTTTGCTTTTTTCTTCATTTTCTTACAAAATGGTACAAACAACAATACAAAATATTTGTGCTGTTGACAATTTACAAAAATGTCTTTTGACTTGATAACTGTGCAATAATTTTTTCAGCTTTTTTTTGTTCTTTTTTGTTCTCTCCTCCGTTTGAAACTATGTGAGTATGGTACACCAGAATCCCCTCTGGATTGCAACCTCGGTCATGCGGGCTGCGACACATTTTAAAATGTTGTATGGTTACTGTAATAGAACTCATCTGTCCATTATAAAAAGACACATGCAAAAAGCTCCAATTGTACAGGTACAGTTTGCCTAACTTGGTCTGTTTAGCTTCAAGCAAATACTACATTATGTACACTTGGACTTGAGCAGTTGTGGGAGAACTCGTATCAAACACTGCTGCCTGCCTGTCTGTCTTTGTAGTTCTGGCCACAGCAGAGCAAAAGTCTGGCTTCTGCTGGAGCCTCCCGTCATGTGTGTGTCCACGGTCAGGCAGTGTCCCGAGTGAGACCAAGTGTCCTTTAAGTAACACCAGTCAGAGAGGCAGGGGAGCTGTTGTTGGCAGCCAGGAGACAGTGGTGGACTACAGCAGTGCAATACTTCCTCCTTCATTCTATCATTCACTAATTCTCCCCTCGTTTTAGCAAGAGAACATCAATAAGACAAGTGGACCAAGTATGTAACAAGTAATGATCAATCTTCCTTCATTTCCCCTCACAGATTGCATTTAAACGGGGGGGTCAAGTGTGACCGACTCCACGGATGATTTGCTGCAACGTGTCTTTGCGAGTCATTGATAACATTCAGTATCATAATGGCATTGTGTCACGTATTTATGTATGACACAGTCATAAAGGTCAGTTACCTTGTGTAAAGTGTGTGTGTGTGTGTGTGTGTGTGTGTGTGTGTGTATGTATGTGTGAGCCTTCTGCTGCGTTTGGCCCTGAACTCGGTCTGAGCATCTGATCCGAGAGTTTGAGCATTTCATTAAGCACGTCTTTATTCTGTGAACACTGGATGGCCTTCAGTCAAGTTGGAGCTCTGCAGCTGAATTGAACAATGCTGAAAGGGCTCATATATAATATAGAACACTCACATATATACAGTAAGGCCTAGAGGAGTGAGTGTGTGCTAGTGTAGACTGTACAAGTTGGTTTGAAGTGGAACCTTTTCACCATGATGAAGCTAAACTGGAACAGCGACGCGAGTATGGCTGTAAGCTCGTATAGAATCGCACAGACTCTCTTAAATGCACATGGCTTTTTGTGGTGAAATATACCTTGCCGAATATTCCTTAAAAAACAAAACTGGAGTGAAAGAAAATGCACACGGGAACAGATAAATCATGTTACCAAATGTATAAAAATGTTCTGTATATACAACATTTATATGTCAGAAATAATCACAGATAGCAGAAAGTAACAGCTGTGTTTATTTTGTGAAGATATTCCGTAGGCTGAGGAGCAATCGGGTAGATAAGAGCTTATCCAGCAGCAAGCTTTGGGAACTGCTCCATTTTTAAATGTCTACTGTTTCTGCTGTGAGCTGACAGCTATCCTGAAAATGGCCGCTGACGGTTTCTACACCCATTTATGTACCCGTCTAAATCAAGAGATTCCTACCCTGTTAACCTTATTAATTATACTATGTCCTTCATTCTCCTGTCTATAGTCAAATCAAACTCTCACCCTTATTTCACTGTTATAGCATGATGACTCTGAAATGTTGTGAAAACTAAAGGTAGTTTGTATCTGCAGCTGTTCTTATGAAGCATGAGCAGGTGAGGAACGGCTGAAAAGCAGTTTTAGAAAATGGAGAGGTGGAGGATCCGTCTCATCACATCATCTTAAGAACATTGTCATTAACTGAGATTTCCTCCAAGCATTCATCATATCCATAATTAATAGAACATCTGGTCACTCCACATCAAACTGAAGCTGGCTACAACCGAGGAGTGTTTCACTGGGCACTCAGAAGATAAGGAATGATTAAACCTTTCTATCATTTACCAGCATCTCCCTCGTCCCTCTTTGAAATGTTTTGCATATTTGAATAATTTAATACAAAGACTAAAGCTTCTTTTTTTTCTCCGTCCTCTATATATGCAGTTCGGGGGGTCTGAAATATGATTACAAAAGCCCATGGGTAGTGCTGCTTTTTCATTAAGTCACAACAAAACTGTCTTTCAAAATGTCTGCCTTTTAAAGCGCTATTACTGAAGCTTTAGTTTTGCGAGTCGTCTTTGATAAAATGCAGAACTTCATAACAGACTTTCCCTTCCTCTAACTTCTTTTCAAAACCTCTTGAACTTGCAGCCAAAAATTTCAGGAGAAAATTTCAGATGAATGAAATGCTGCCTGAAGAGAGACAGATTGCGAAGGCGCTAAATCCCTGGCTGAGGCTCAATTTCCCCAGTTTCTGTGACAGGGACCAGCACCAAAGTTTGTATATTAAAAGTTTGCTGAGAAACAACAGTGAATCAACAAAAGCGAAAAAAAAATGTGAAACAAAGAAAGGGATCTCAGAATGAGGCTTGTACAACCCCCCAATCTGTATGTAACACTAGAGCTATTTAAAGTCATCTGGTATTTTTCTTTCCCCTCGTGTTTGTACAGTTTCTTTGACACATTTACCACACAATAACTGGTGCCATGTTAATTACCTTTGGGTGAAGGGATAAACATGCAATCCTTAAATGATCTTAAAGGCAAAGTCTCCTTAAATAACCCTCATACGCACTTCATATACAATAACATTAGAGAGGTAACACACACGACTTGTCAATCTTCGAAATTTCGTAACAAGCCTTATCAAGTTTTGCGCAAATACTGAGAGCTCAAAACAAACACAGCTGCTATTGAAGCCACAATAAACAAAGACACGCGATGCATTTCTTCTCTAAGACAGTCCCATAATGTGTTTTGTGTGATTACAGTAATCACATTCAAGTTGGCTGTGATCTAGGAGCACAGATATGCCTGACTTGAACAGTTAATGATTTGTCCATAACTCACAGACACACTGTAGGCCTATGTACAGTACGTCTACATAAAGCGCCCTCGTAAGCCAGTCAATGCTGCTCTGAAACCGGCACTGACATCTCCTGCAGCTACCACAGCCCTGCAGGACGATAGAAATGACAAGGGAAGGTCTGAGTTAAAGGGTCAGGGGTCATATGGGGGCATGTGAGCCCAGAAAATGGCAACCAATCCTGAGTTAGCGGGAGTCTGCTAAAATACGCACCACTGAAGGCACTTTTTAAACAACAGTGCTTCTGTTCTAAGTAATTCAAGTTCAAGAAAGAATAAACCAGGGCCCTCCGTGCTGGAAGGACTTTCATATCTGTGTTCTTCTTCTTTTTTTTTTTTTTTTCTTTTGTTCCCCTCAGACAAAGCAAGCAGCTCAACCTAAAGCTTCTGCAGAGAGGCAGGCGGGGGCTGACAACGAGGGAAAAGTGAAAACCCTCAGGAATAAGGAACGGCTCGAATCAAAGGGGAGTGGGGACAAAAAAAAAAAGCTACACAAACTAAAGGAAAAACAAAATGACTACTAAAAACTACATCTAGCATAAAACCTGAAATTAAAAAAAAAGCATTTAAAAATACAAACTATGAGAAGCCTGCAAATCAGAGCTTCCATTTCAGTCTTAGACAGGCTTAGAGCAGGAGACGGTTGAGAAGAGCACCCGAAACTGACTCACGACACCGGTCCTCTGTGGTGGTGGGTAATTTGATTGGTTGGTTGGTCAGTCAGTTGGTCAGTGTGAACATGTCATTGTTACCGTGTGTTCAATAAGGGTGTAATAGCCCCATGTGTTAGAGGGACAGAGCATGGCAGGCCAGCTGACGGGACGAGGGTGTGTGTGTGTGTTTGTGTGACTGGGCAGATTTAATCATCGTCCCCTCCTCCATACATGTCGGCCAGCTTCTTGAAGCGGGGACCCCAGTCGTTGAGGTAGTCATAGTCCTGGTCCCCAGTACTGGAGGAGTTGAGGGAGCTGACGGAGCCGGCGGTGGAGCCGCTGCCCTCGTAGTCGAACACCAGCAGGGAGTCGTATGGAGGAGCTGTGGGGTCGTTGTCTGCTGCTCGCAGACCCTAAACAGGACAAGGAGGAGGAGAGGTAGAGGTCAGTACTCGCATTCCTGCAGTGGAGAAGTTGATTTCTTTGACTTTTGACTTTTTCTTTTTTTTTTTTTAAGGTCCAAATTGAAGCAGCAGAGGAGCAGCTGGATCCTACATTTCCCATGTTGCAATGGAAGACATCTTTTCCTCACAGCCTCCCTTCTGGTAAATACCAAGCTCATTTAAACTCAATTTCCCCATTTTATAGGGCTGCCCGACCAAACGTTAGTCGACCAGAAAGGTCGTTAGTCGGCAAGATTTCATTGGTCGCTTAGTCGTAGAAAAACAATACAAACTCTATAAGTAGCTGCACCTCATCAAATAACTCAAAACCTATATGACTGAACCATGTGGGAATTTAATTTGAAAGGACAGACACAGGAAGTGTCCACGCTCAGCAGTCAGACAGGAGTCATGTTAATTTCCATGGCTGGTACCTGCGGTTATTCCACAGGCTAGTTAATAACATGTCGGGCAGGAAATCCAAAGTGTGGGATCATTTTGAGAAGGTGAAGGAAGAACCCAAGGTGATATGTAAACTCATCTTCATTGGTCGACTACAAACATGACGTATCATCTGAAACATGGAAGTAGCTACATGCCCATTAGCCACTTAGCACAATCATTACTGCTTTGCCAACAGCGTCATTAACAGGTGGCTCACTCAGTGTGTGACGTGCACACCTTTAACTCAAACCATTGTGTTGCCCCGCCCAAAATATATAATCTAATTATTAAACTAATATCTTAAACATGCAAGTGACTAATGGCCTTAAATGACAACTATTGGTCGACTAGGAAAATACTGAGCCAGGGGCAGCCCTAACATTTTGTAACCGATGCTTTTTGTTATAAATACAAAGTTGACGAGCCCAGGCTGTGAAAACTCCTGCTGACATCACTGCGATATCAGGGTCATTTCCAATAAGCCATAGAAGACATCATGCAACTTTTTCTTAACAGGCCGAGCAGTGCGCTCCTTGACCGTTAAACTGACTGCTGTGTCTCAAATCAGACACTTCTGTTGGCATGCTTACATTTATTACAAACGAATTTTGACAGGGTAGTGTTGTCTCAAATCAAACATGGTCATTGCTCAATTAATGGACAACGGCAAGATCTGACAGCTTTTCAGCTTCTGCTCAGCGAAACGCCATCAAGCGGAGCATTATCACCAACATTTAATGAACCATTGTCACTCACCAAACATATGCTTGCTATATCGGCTTATTTGCTCATTTGACTTCTTCCGTATTTATTTATTTATTGTATTAAAAATGAATGTGCTGTCATGGTATGTTTTCATATCCATGAATGTCCATGGCTGATACTGACTGTCTCTTCCACCAGCTGATCTACTGAGTTAATGATAGCTGCCTCATTTTGTGAATATTTACAGCTTATTAAGCATCTGACCACAAACTCCAAGTCCAAAATCTTTCACAGTAAAGACGGAAATTTAACATGCATAAACACCAAACATAATTTTTGTGAAATATCCACATAGTGTTCACTGCAGTAGTCAGCAGACATTTCACAAATTTGAATTTGTATTTGTGGTCCCGCCCCTTCTGCTACGTAGGCAACATGGCGACCATTGAGGGTGAGAAGTGTCCAATATTCCACACTCAACTTTTTGACGGTTGTGAGCAGTGTTGTGTGTAACAGTAACGTAACTACTTTTATTGGGTAAAAAGTAGTGTAACGCGTTACTACTGAAAATATGGTAACGGAACGTAGTTACTTTGTCAGTTGGGCACAACGTTACTTTTTCCGGGGACAGATTTGACAGTGACACTGCCTGTCTGCCTCAGCTGTGCACTAGGCAGGACCTGTGACAGTTGCCATGTCAACAGTACAGACAGGAGCGCCAAAATCAAGAATTGTATGAGGAATATGGAAGATACACATGCCTCCTCGGATTATTTTAATGGTTTGTCAACCGAAGACAGGTTAGCTTATTGTAATAAGCTAACAATTAGCAACAGAGTGAGGTTTCCTGACCCGTACTTAATGTTGGGTCAGTGGGTCACTGACCCAATGAAATGGCCTAAGCTACAGTGGCCGGACATTTTTTTATATCTTGTGGAGAAACCCAGCGTTTATACGCATGAAAAACTCAAGGCATATAAATCCCTTGATGTGTATAATTTTGTACTTTGCGGTCATGTCCAAGATATTGAATACTGGGATTTATCTGATGGTTTTTGTGCTCTATGGACCGAAGTACTGCCGAGCCAGCGACAAGGACACAAAACAGTAACGTTAACTAATGTACAAGACCTGGGCGATTCTTAACAAGTCGACCAACTATATACTGACAGCGAACTGCACTTGTATGGCTGGGTAAGTGTTGTTTAATGTAACGTTAACCTCGCTAGTCAGACCTCAGGCATGGGCAACATACGACCCCGGAACCTCAAAGGAAATCAAAACGACCCCCAAAACATCAATAAAATGCAGCATTGTGTTAACAGAAAACAGAACAATCATAACCTGCCTACCTTCCTGGCGCTGTGTGAACGGCAGCCTGTTGCAGCAGCTCCTATTTTGTTTATTTTAAATTGCTGCTGTGACATTGAAATTTCCCCCCGAGGGGTTAATAAAGTACCTACCATACCATACCAAAAGAGAAAATGAATTAATTTATTCGTGCAGGTCTGTAGCTTACTGCAAAGTATGAGTCTGTTACACAAACACAGTCTCACAGTTACACACGTAATAACAGAACAGAAAATGATTTATTCATGAATATGACACTATTTGTTCAAAGATAGTGTCGGTGAATATTAATATTTTCCTCATTCAGTGATGCAGCAGGCCTGGCAAATAGGCTATTAGTAGTAGTAATCTGTCATGTAACAAATTCATGTAGCCTAGTTAACACAAATTAACTCTCACTCTTTAATCATTATTTTATCACCAAAGTGGTAAATACCAGTGGGAAACTCGGATTTTTTCACATTTAGGAAATGAGATGGGGTTCTACCCAAAGTCAAGCACCATAAAGGTAACGTAAAAGTAACGAGTAACGTAAAAAGTTACTTTTCACAGAGGGTAACTAAGTAAAGTAAGGGATTACTTTTTTTAAGAAGTAACGAGTAACGAGCAAACACTACTTTTTAAAAGTAACTTCCCCAACACTGGCTGTGAGTTCACCATCCAGGTACTCAAAGTGCACTACATCCTGCCATACTTGTCAGTGTGAAAGCACTCACACTGAAAACAGCAAGTGTAAGTACAGACGCAACCAATTTGAGACACAGCAGAACTTTATGTGTAAACTGGGACTCACTATAAAGAATGACCCCCTTCATAGTGTTGGTCAAGGTGGAAATATGTTTTTTTCTTTGTACACTGGTGGGCAGTTTAATGCATAATATTCTAAAAACCTGATATTTGTATGTAAAACTCAATCTCCTACTTCTAGATACTGTGATAAGAAATGATGGCATAAAAAGTAGAATATCAGTAGATAGTTGGAGGTGTAGAATACTATAGAATGGTAATATTCAAAGGGTAACTGTATTTTTTTTTTTTTTTTTTTAAAAAAAACTGGACCCCTTTTTCTCATGTTTTTTGTCTAAGTGACTAATTGAAACAATAGTTCATTAATTTGTCCAGTACTGAGCAACAGGACTGCAGCCAGCAGTCACCATACAGGCTGTTGATGTAATCACTCTGAGTATGTTCGCTCAGTTAATTTACGTCCACTAAAAGTATTTTGTTTTTGCCACTGACAGGCTCAGATTATGATTGAGTATCGAGTATTATATGAGTATCTGACAACATTATGGAAAGGATCCCTACAGAGACAGATCCTTTTTGTTTAACCAGAAACAGCCCCGAAATTGCCACGCAAAACCCACCAGACTCCATTTAAATAAACAGTAATTTTAGTGTGTATAAAGCTGGCATATTTTCACATCTAACTCGGTTGGTTTATTTCAACTAAACCAGAGTTGGCAATTGTTGTGAGTTTTATTTTGTTTCTGCCAGCTTTGAGTGAAGTGTATTTTTTGATGATAAAATTACTGTTTGTTAAATGAAGATTGGTGGCAATTGCGATAGCGGCTTCTTCGCTGCTTCAAAAGGATCTCACTCTATAACAAAGAGCTCTCTCTGTAGACATCCATCCATAATGTGCAGGACACTCAGAAAAGCCTGTCAATGGAAAAACCAAGCACAACAAGCTCAATACTGGAAGAGTTTCAAAAATTGTTGTTGCCGTTAGAAACATGGGAAAATAGCATCCGGGTTGAAATATACAGAAGTTACCCTTTAAGCACCTTAGAGTTGTAGTTTCTGCTACTGGAGGTTATTAATTCGATCTTCGTCGTAGCCCTATGTTGAGTCTCATAGCTGCTTAAAAAACAAATACCACATACAGATAAATAAAGAATACATGGCACTGTGCATGAAAAAGTATTGGAAATACTATATTAATATTGTATTGTGCTGTGTATTGTGCTCAAACTGTGACTAAGTATAACTGCATTTCAGTGTCTCGGTGCTTGTATTGTTAAATAGAACTACAGCAAATCATTTTTGTCACAATCTACTTTTGGTGAATTTTGAATAACTCTACAGCCTTCACAGGAGCAAAGCTCAGTAGGCCTAAATTATTACAACCTTTATTTAATCAAGTAGTCTCACTGAGGTCAGGATTTCTTTTGCAAGAGCAGCCTGAGTAAAGCAGCAGTTACAGAACAGAGATGAGACACGCAGCCAGTGAGATGCGTTGGCCAGTTCTGAGTTTGATTAAGTTGTGATCAAACCCTATTCATCAACATTAAGTTACTGTTTCATGAATACGATGTAAAGACATCTGCATGTTTTCTGTCGCACACCTGAACTTGATTCACAGAATGACAGATGAGAGCCACTGACCTAAAAGTTAGGTAGGTGAAAAGAACGGACATCATCCACTTCACTGAAATGCAGAGAGATGCTGCGGATAGAAACCTTAAAAGCCTCAACCCCCAGGGGTACAGTGCGTGGCAGTAACACCATGTGTTTGCTGTGTTTGTGTTTTACCAGACTGCTGGAGCGAGATCAGGTGAGTACATGTGTGAGCAGGAGAGAGAGGGGGAGAGAAAGACGCAGAGGCAGAGAGAGGGAGAGTCAAGGCTGGATGGATCAAAGCTGAACAGCTGCCAACACCTCTCAAGTGTGAACGTGTTGTCACGAGTCTGTCAATCAGCATTTTCTCGCATCAGTGTGCCAACACTGAAGGTGTGTGTGTGTGTGTGTGTGTGTGTGTGTGTGTGTGAGAGAGTGAATAAAGCTGGTGCCGTGAGAGCAGCTGTAAAGTAAAACAAAACTCTATGCTGTTCCCATCACCACGCTGGAGTTTACATATTGAACAGCATCCAGAAATGAGTAATCACATTAAATGAGGGGCCAGCGCACTGTCGGAGAAACAATCTAATGACAGCTTAGCTCTTTGTGCATGTGAAATGTAACGTGTGTGTGTGTGTCCACTGTGTAAATTCACCTCATGGATGAAGTCCCCGATGTCTCCAGGGTGGGGCACGACAGGTCTGATTGGGTACTGGGACTCAGGGATGATGGGACGCTCATCCACCCTGCGGACACCTGGTGGCTTGCTGATGATGTGCTCCAAGGAGTCAGGCTGCTGCAGCTGGCTCAGGTCGTAGTCCTACACATCCACACGGGCGTACACATGTTAATTGGCACAGGAGGTCATTGTGGAAAGTGCGCGTGTGTGTGTGTGTGTTGGTTTAATATCTCTCAGGATCTCACCTGGTCCTCTTCTCCTCCTCCCTCTTCATCGTATTTGAGGATGTTGTCTCTGACATCGTCTTCGGGGTCAATGAGCAGCTGCTTGGTGTGCCTCTCCTTCTCTCTCCGCTTGATCCACACCACAAACAACAGCACCATGCCTGCACAGACACACACGAACATGAAAATCCTTTAAAATGTGCATCAAAAGCAAAACATGCAGTCAGGAAATATGTATGTAAGACTCTACAGCTACAAGTCTGTGAAACTGTGGAGCTGAAATACAAGGGGCAAGGACGAAACACGTCACGTAGGTGGAGCGGTTTGTTTGCTTCTGGCTTCACAGTGTGTGTATTGAGTTTTAACAAGTGATAATGCAGCTGGTTGTGGAGGGTGTGGAAGCATAGGCTATACTAACTGGGACTAAATTAATCAACGGGATTCTTTTATCCACAGGATGCATTGATTTGATTTATTTTAATGAGAAATGTATAAACACACAAGGTTGCTCTGCTGCTTTGCATTGCCTTTAGAACAATAAGGTATTCATTTTTAAACAGACTGTACTTTTTTCCATAGGTCTCTGTAGTTTTTCCTTTTTGGAGGACCAAAGACTGTGCATAGTAAAAAGAAAACTAGACCTGCTGCCTTAAAATAACAATGAACAACGCAGAGCCCGCAAAAGTAAATGTGTCTTGGTCGTGCTGTGTCCGTGCCCCATGTATTTCAACCATTGGGCACAGCAGTGCTTTGAGCTAAGTGCTAAGTTAGCATCCTAACATTCTTACAATGACAATGCTAACATGTGGATTTTAAGCAGGTATCATGTTTCCTATGTTAGTTTAGCATGTTAGGATTGTCACATTCTAACTGGAGCAAACCAAAGAATAGCTGAGGTTGATGGAAATGTCATGAATGCAATTTGGCGGCTCACCAAAATTATTAAAGTTTATCTTAAGGTGACATGAATGCATGTCCCAGTTTGTATGGCAATCTGTCTAATGAAGCTCAGTGTAAGTTCAATCAGGAAGACTTGTGCTCATCCATTCACATTTCTCTCCCTCCCACTGCTTCCTCTCATCAGCTGACTATGGGTGGTCACTCTTCTACTTCTCCACTCAAACTTCATCATGGTCTCTATCAGCCAATCAGAATGCGGCTGCAACATGTTAAATCTGCTCTCTCCTCTGCTGCTGTCAGCGTCATTTTAGGCAGAACTGTCGCACCCTCCTCCACCCCGTTCACCTCCAGTCATCATATCCAGAGCCAAGGACATGTTCAACAAAGGCTCATTCCTCTACTCATCCAGATCATCAGCACTTCTTCATCCTCTCCACATCATCTTCACCTATTCGACTATGGATTCATCACCCTCCTTAAATCATACCATTTCTATGGGGTCTAATCGCCAAAGACTTTTCACATTTTTAATTCTTATGTGCACGTTAATGAATATTCTTCTATTATACAAACGAGTTTCTCCTGATTGAAACAGTTGTTGACTTATTTCACTTATTTTTCTCTGAATGCTTTAACACAAACAGTGACTCTTGAAGCACTGTCTCTGAAACCACGTGTAGCCAATGCATTGAGTGTGCCAAACTGAATGCACATTCTCTGCTTTACACTCATGTTACAATATAATAATACATTTCTAGCAAGCCTATGAACGCTGGTCTCTGCTTTGAAACAATATTTTGCCTACTGCCTTTCAACATTGACACGTGCTGCCTAGCTCAAGACACCATCACATATGATGCATTGGATGAAATCTAATGGCCAGATTCACAAAGGTGAGATGTCGCTTTTTTCAGTTTTTCTTTTTCTAACACATGCTTTTGTTGTCTTCTACAGAGTGTCGGAACATTTTGAGAGAAGAAAAAGTTTCCCCATTTGGAAACCTGTGTATGTGTCTTTACTTCATGTATAACAACTTTTCTACAAGCTGTTAACAACATGCCCTGCACACAGAAAACGCAAAAGCCACAGTTCCTTTTCATTTATACTATCTGCATGTAGCACTTAGTGTGCTTATTCAAATGATGGTTTGCATTTACTGCATTGATGCAAAAAGTTTTGCAAAAGATCTATAATGTTTTGCTAGTTTGCTGTAAGGTTTTGGGGTTGGTTTGTAAAGTTTTGCGAAAATAGCCTACAGTTTCAAAGATAGTGCCTAAGTAATCAGAAAAGAAACTGTAAAGGGAAAACTAAAATCCTCATGGTGGTACCAGAGGATGATGGATGTTTGTACAAAAGTTTGTGCCACTACATCTAGTAGATGCTGAGATATTTTGCAGGATAGGTGAAAACTTTGACTTGCTTGTGGCTCTAGAGGAAAACTCAGAGGATCACCAAAGTCAGAGTTTGACATGAGACTTCTGTTCACAGCTCCTATCAACAGTCAGTGTTGAATTTTTTTTACCCTCACCATGATGCTTCCCTAACTTCCCCAAGTGGTTTTTATTTGTAAAGTATATAAGTATTTGTATAGTGTGCAGTTTTTGTTCCCTGAAAAATCAATGTATAGACTCATACAGAAGTTAACCCTATCGACCGTCACCTTTGTCCCATGAGAAGTTTGTGGTGATGTATTTATTTGCAGAGACTCTGCCCTCTGCCTGTATTTCCTTATTTTCTGTGTCTGGGATGTTTATGGACGTGTACCCCCAAGAGCGTTCAGGTGAGGTTGTGCCCTTTCAGAAAGGTAGCGACCAGAGGCCTGTACTACGAAGCAGTATTTGGAGTTAGCGAGGTAACTTCAGGGTTAACTCTGGGATTTAAGTACCACAAAGCTGGTTCTCTTTTTACTGAGATAAATCACAGTGGCAACTTACGCTGAACAGCTATCCTGCTCCGGAGAAGGTTAACTTCAGAGTATCGGATCACAACCTAATCATCAACCTAACCTAAATGTACCCATATCTCTGGCAGATCAAAAGACAGCTTGCTCATTCTTTCTCCTCTTTTCTTTTAGCATGAGAGTCACTTCCAAATCTTGTATCAGTACTAAAAGTATAAAACAAAGCTCACTGACACACAGTATACCATCCACCACTTTGAAATAAGCTGGATGAACCCTACAGCGGCAGGTGAATCTGTCTATAAGACTTTTATATATGTATATATAACCCACAGAAACAAAGTGAGCCAGCAGCATGAATCACTGGCATGATAGATAGCAGCAGATGTTTACCCTACCAGGAAGGGAAGCCAGAAACCTCTTTGTCGAGAGATGCTGGAGACGATTCCAGCAGTTGAGGCATAAATCCATTATACAAACTGTTGTTCAAGTTGTTGTATTGCAGCCTGGTGAATGTTTAATGACTGCGCCCTGAACTGCATTCTTTTGGCAGAACGGCAAATCAAAGCCAATCACAAGCAGCTAAAATTTTCTGTATTGTACACAGTGTGTGGGTGTGTGACATGTCTGAGAGTGGTGAGGTGTCTGTGGGTGAATGTGAGATGAACAGCTGATACTCACTGAGCAGTATGATGATGCAAATGAGGATGGAGATGATGGCTCCGGTTCCCAGGCCGGCGGCCGCCACGGCCCCGAGGGTGGTGCAGTCTCCGTGTTCGTCGCAGGGACACACCTTCACTTTGATGACTGACCTGTTGGATAACGGAGGGTTCCCCGAGTCCGACACAATTATAGGGACCTCATACACCCCGGGCTCTAAGTACACCTGGTACCGCAGTCCTAGACGGCCGTAATCACCTGTGTGGCATGTAGAGGAAAGAGACAAGAAACTAGATGTAATTAATCATAACACTCATAAATATATACTCAGCACAAACTTTTGCTCCCAGTTTTCACAGGTTTAAGTTAAAGATCTAAAGCTTTTTTATGGACTCAGTAGATATGTTTCTCAAATTTTGGTTGCAAATGTGTTCAAAATTGTGTTTTTGAGCACTTCTCTTTTTCCAAGATAATATGCCACACCTGTCAGGTAGATTATTTAAGATCCTCATTAAACCACATGATTACTACACAGGTGTGCCGTGGGATGATCACAATTAAAAGCCACCCTAAAATGTGCAGTTTTATGACGACACAATGCCACAGCTGTTGCAAGTTTAAGGGAGCGTGCTATTGACGTGCCGAGTGTAGGAATGTCCATCAGAGCTGCTGCCTGTGAGCTGAATGTTCATTTCACTGCCATAAAACATCTCCAATGTCGTTTCTGAGAACTCGGCAGTAGGCTACATCCAACCGGCCTCACAACTGCAGACCAGAAGTAGCTACACCAGCTCAGGACCTCCACATCTTTACATGCAAGATCGTCTGACAACAGCCACCTAAACAGCTGCTGCAACAACTGGTTTGCACAACTGAAGAATTTCTGCACAAAGTCAGAAACCGTCCCAGTGGGGGCATTGGTAGTGTAGTGGATAGTGCCGGCGCCCCATGTACAGAAGCATTGCCTCGCTGCAGTGGCCGCGGGTTCGAATCTGGCTCACAGCCATTTGCTGCATGTCAGTCCCCACTCTCTCTCTCTGTCTCCCCATTTCACTCTCTGTCCTGTAATTAAAGGCAAAAAACCCCACAAAAATAATTAAAAAAAAAAAAAAGAAACTGTTCCAGTGAAGCTCATCAGCATGTTATCGTCCTCACCAGGGTCTTGACCTGACAGCCGTTCGTCAGCATAACAGATTTTGAGATTGTGAGGCCGGTTGGATGTACTGCCAAATTCAGGGAAGTGTTCACTAACAAGGATTTAAAAAAAATATATGTCCAAAATATCGCTTAAGTGCATAATGTCTTACATCTGTAGCTTAAATCTGCCACACAGCCACAAAATACCGTCAATCTCCATCCAAACAGGACTCAAACATCATTCAGAATTAGGCACCAAATTTGAAAGCGAGACTGAGTAAGTAACAGACATAAAAAAATAAGTAACCACAATAATATTTTTACTGTCTCCAATGCTGCTTTCTACTGATGACTAACAGGTTTTCCAAAGTGTTCCTGACGTCAAACGTGACACACAAAAACAAAACAAAACCCAGAAATACATACTCATCTACTGCAGAGCTGGGTTCATGGCTCTGCTCTTCTGGCAATGGAAAATAAGTCTATTGTCTGTTTTTAGTGGGTTTTCCTGGTATCTGCACTAATTTTGGTGGGAAAAAGAAAATTATGTCTTATGTGTTAATTTATTATTGACCAATGTGTTTCCTTTAAATTGCTTGGTGCATGTATGTTCAAGTAAAAATATTTCAGACCCTGTACACTGTGTTTTGCTACACGTGTGTATGATGTGACTTTAAACCATTATATGCGCTGATCATTTAAATTAATTTTCTTATATCCTCTGGGGTTGTTCTACAATGACATCTCCTTACCACTGATCCGAGAAATCGTCCAGTTGCGTCGGATGCTGGTGGGAAAGTTGGGCAGCTCGAAGACAAAGGGTCCGGCGTTGGGGTCCGTGTCAGCATCGGCGGCAGTGATGTTGACACCGTGGACGTTCTTGTTCACCCGCTCACAGATCTGAGACTCCCTGGGTATGAGTGCTGGGGGGTTGTCATTAATATCTATCAGATAGATCTGCAGCGTGCCTGTGCCGCTGGCTGCTGGAGAGCCTGGGAGCAGAAAGAAGGGAAGAGAAAATTGTATCATGACGGGAGGAAAAGATGACAAGAGAAGATGTGTGCAGTAATAGGGACGATTGAGAGGGAAGAGGGACAGGAGTTGAAGGCCGACAGAGGGGAGGCAAGGGATAAAAGCCAACAAAAAACAAAGGAGAAGAGGTGAAAGGAGCTCCGTCTATTCACAATGGTGATGTTAGAGGTAGAGATGCTGTAGGACTGCAGGAGAATTTCTGGCCTTGACAGAAGTACTTTTGACAGTTGTGGTTTTCAGCTCCTCTTTTAGCCTCAGAGCCAAATCAAAACCATCAGAGTCGATCCAGATGCAGGCACGGTACATCCAATCGCCTAGAGACGGCTTAGGTACAATAATGATGACTGTAACACAATCAAACAAGTCCTTGTCTGTGTGTATTTACACAAAACGAGGAGAGCCATCTATGATTCTGTAGATAAAGGCACGGCTGCCTGCAATATTAACAATGTATATCTGAAAGTTGAACACGAACATTCTCATTGTGGTGCACGCAGTTCTTCACTCTTACATAAATAATCATCTAAATACACTTGTAAATGCAGAAACTTCAAGCCTCTGTGTTAAGAGGATATATCACTGCATGCTCACATACATATATACAGTATTACTCCCTGCTCACACATAATCAATGACTCATGAATATGATTTACTCAGCGTGACAGCAGTTGTGACTTTCCAACACTGAACACTATAGCAGCCTATCAAACAATGTATTTTGCTTCTTTAAAAGAGACGATATAGATTTATAAACTCCATTATTCTGTGATAAGTGACAGATTTAACCCCATGCATCACGTTTGTCCACTCTTAAAGGGATATTTTATTTTCAACCAGCTTTGTATCATAGCAATGTTGGTAGTATGTGTAAATGAACTATGATATTCTCCCCTACATCTTGCTAATGCCCACATCTCCCAGCTCAAATCTGCCAAAAGACACCTTTCAGGTCATCCTGCTCTTGGGCTGTTGCTCGAACTACGGATTGTCTTCCGTGTTTTTGTATGCTGCTACCTCTCTCTTTCTCTATTTCTCAAACTCAGACCATATCAAACAAACTAGGCAGTGCTGATCAAACATAAACTAGGATTATGTTACCGTATTACCTGTTTCTCAGCTAAAATGTCTCCAGAAACACATTTTAGTGCACTGCTGTAATATGAGCATTTGTGAAGAGGAAGCTGGTGCTATACAGTTTCCTGTACTTTTAACTGAGGCTGAAAAAAATGAGATCAAGCAGTACAACTATAGCCCCTTTTACACTGCCAGATTTTCCGTGAATGTTGGGCCGTTTTGCCGGCAAGCTGCAAGCGTTGAGACACACAGAGCCAGAT